TTGTGGTTCGTCGATTATTTCGTTCGTTTATTTCTTGTTGCATATATCCATCGTGTATAGTGTGTGTGTGTGTGTGTGCATTTATTATACTTTATTATAACCACCGAACGATTGGAAATTGAATTCTCTACGATGATGTCATCCTATTTCCGTAAAACCGATAACGTGGAATTCGACATGGATAATAATTGATAAGAAACAACGTTTCAATGACAACGATCGTCATTAGTTGGCACGAACAAAATTTCATGCTGCTTGTATAACATCATTTTGCACCTTTATTTACTTTTTTCCTTTTTTATTCTTTCTTTTTCTTTTTCTTTTTCTTTTTCTTTTTCTTTTCTTTTGTCTTTATTGTTCTCGCACGATTGCATATATGTATGTATATGATAAATTGGCCGGAAGTCATGCGTAAAGATATAAATCTAAAAATAAAAATTATATTAAACATTTGTTAGAGATAGATGTATCTCTTTGGGATAATATAATGTTTTAATTCTTTTTCTTTCTTTTTTTTTTTCTTCTCTGAGATATTATATATTTCTAAAAGTTACTAATTTATTCATGAAAATTAAGTATATATACATTATTGTAATAATTATGTCTTTATAGTGTAGTTTTGTTTAAGAAATTTGCATAAAAATTCAAAGAATGTTAAAATGAGAAGGTTATAATCTTAAATTTTATGTATTAGATGCATTATTAACTTTATACACATGTGCAACATTCGGTAGAGCATATAAAGAACATTTAATAAAAGTAATTTGATTGAGGACAATGTTTCATTTCAACGCTGAATTTTGAACAAATGTCGTTTTTCTGAATAGTTCCCGCCAAAATTTTTTATACTTATAGCAAGCGGATTTTCATGATTTTTATATTAAATCGAAGTACAATCTTTTATCTGCGCGTAGAATATTTTTCCGAGTTATAAATTTAGCATGTAAAGTACAGGATATGTCAGAGAATGCAATGCTGTAAATTGTGCATATTTGCAATTTTTTTGAAAAGTTTAGGATAATATTTTTTATATTTATAGTAAGCGGATTTTAATGAAATTTATATTAAATTAAAGTACACTCTTTTATCTACACGTAGAATAATTCTTTGAGTTATAAATCGATCTGCAAATGTTCATAAAATGGCAAAGAATGTACTGCTGTAAGTTCTGCATCTTTGCAATTTCTTYGAAAAGTTTCGGTAAATATTTTTAATACTTTCTGCAAATGGATTTTATTGATTTTTATATTAAATTAAATTGCACTCTTTTGTCTACACGTAGAATACAAATTTGAGTTATAAATTAATCTGCAAAGGTTCATAAAAT